TATTTTGTTTCCGTTCACATTAGTTTAGATTATGATTGAATATTCTCTTCGGTTCATCATTTTATGTTATTCTCGTTCATTGGGATTCCTATAACATCCTGAATCTTGTACCGGCCGAGTATACAATTTCTTAAGCACAAGCATGTCAGTCTTGGTCATTAAACAGTGGCGATTGACCGCTATACTAAAAAGGCAGAACCCTACTTACTCAGATTAGGATATTTTTTTTGCGGTCCCCATAGGTCTGCTACCTCCTAAATCAGACAGAGCTATTTAATCATATTACGATCATTACTATAGAATTAAGCAGACCAGTCGTACTTAAACTATTAGTAACTTTGAATAATCACTATACTATCTAAATAGTATTTTAAGTTTATTGGGTGAAGGACAATCCCCTTAGATATCCTTTTACAGTCTAAGTATACATGAATTAATGCCAATGTGTTAGTCGGAGCTCTAGAGACATCGTATAGCGTGCCGCAATGCTCCGTCTACCGTGTTCTAGTCCGCTACTAACCTGTGGTGTTATGAAATTACCACAATCTACTAGAGATAATAACACAAACTCTGTTTGAATGATTCAAAACATAACAATTTATTGGTCAGGTAAATGTATTATGCCAATTCAATCAGTCAATTCATAAATGATCAATACAACACATCAAATTATCAAAGACAAATCCAAGATGAAAAGATGCATACCTGACTTCAAAATATACATAACATGGAGCAAGCTCCATATTATGGGCTGATCTGGTTAGGCAGAATCGCCCTGAGCCTCTCAAACCTTACCTTAAATAATCCAAGAATCCCCTCAAGGAAAGGGGTGTGTACATAACAAAAGGCATTCACACTTAGTGCTGCCTGTGGAAAGTCACACCCTTCACAGTGGTTCAAAAGATGCCTGAAGTTATATATTTATTGTTTTGATTATGTCTATTTCTGAGAGAATGAGACCATTATACCAGTCGCACTGAGACATTTCAAATGATATCAAACATGATAGTTAAAGTCAGTTTGGTTAATTTAGAACATTCAAACATTGAAATGACCATATGTGTGAATTGGGGTGGTTGAAGCCGAGTTTCAGCAGACTCAGATGCAAATGCAGCAGGAGCCGGTTTTTCCCGCATTCCCACCTGCTGGGTTGTGGAGTCACCAGTCTCTGTTTTCAGCTCATGTTTTGAATTGTCAAAGATATCAAAATATTTGCAATATTTCAACTCTTACACCATGATATGAGTGCTTACTGGAACACAGGAATGCTTAAGGGCAGAGCTGGTTAATATGGATTATATATAATCTGAATTACGTAATCAATTCACAAAAAAATCAAATACTTGTAATTACTTGTACAAATACTTGTACTACTTTTTAAATTCCCATAATTAATACACGTTTACATTTTTGTGGACTATATCATATTATCATTAAGTCTTTTTGTGCTTTGTGTTTTTTATTTTTTCGGATAAACTTGCTGCTTACAAATGTTTGGGATTTTTTGTGATTCTTTGCTTTCGCAATGTTGCTAGTGCTTGATGCTTTTCACCTATACTGTTATATTTATGATGTGTGAATTATTTAATGTAGCATCGATACTGCTGTGACGTTCATGTTTTTTCTTGATATTGTTTTTGTAATGTTGATAAGGTTATCAATTTAAAATTCTAAATGTAATCCAAATGTAGATAGATTACACAACTGAATAATGTGTAATGTTAGAGATTATATTACTGACTACAAAATTTGTCATGTAATTTGTAACCAGTAATTACAGTTTATAAGTAAACTACTTATTTAGTCAATTAGTTGCTTAATCGCAGTTCCCTGTAAGTCCCTGGATAAAAATGATTGATTCCTCTTATTCAGAACAAAAATCTGCCTTCTCTCAGGCAGTGTGTAAATGTCAGCAGCGAGGCCTGCCGTTTCACATATAAAAGTCTCTCTGTTTGCCCGTGTTTCTTTTTTCAATGCTGCCAGTAAAAAGACATCAAACCGCCTTTCACTACCATTCCCAGTGCTGCTTCACACAGCACTCTGTCTGCTCTGTGATTTATTGAAAATACTAATTTAAAGACAGACTGTAGACTAGCAGTGTTTGAGAAATAAGTAGCAGCACCAAAAAATTAATCATAATATATATTGAAATATATGAAAATGTAATAAAACCATATATAAAGCATGCTTTTACACACACACACACACACACACACGTTTGTTTTGGTGAAAAGTGGGCGCATTACATAGGTTTCCATTCATTTTATCCTGTTATGTTGTATTGTTGCCCTTTCCCCACCCTACCCCTAAACCCAACTATTACAGGAGACTGTGTACGGCTTTACTCTCTGATTAAACTCATCCTGTGTGAAGCTTTTTGAGAAATGAGGACGTCAACTCATATTTCACCTCCTTTTTGTAATACCTGTGTCATACCCATGTCATTATACAGATTAGTGTTCTGATATGTCACAAAAACATGTACACACACACACACAAACACACACACACACACACACACACACACACACACACACACACATTTAGCTTTTTTTTGCCTTTATTAATCAGGGGTTGCCACAGCGCAATGAACCACCAACTTATCCAGCATATGTTTTACACAGCAGATGCCCTTCCAGCTCCAGCCAAAATTTTAGGAGGTTGAAAACAAGGACAACAATAAAAAGTTTGTGTATGTCAAAATGTGGTGTGAAATTATTGAACAGTCTAGAACAGATTCTCAAACAATGTCAGGATGACAACAGAAATGCCAACTGACCCAGTCTGGCTTAAATATTCTATAAAGGATGCAAAAAAAAGTCTATTAAAACAATAAAACATTAAAATAATCAGAGGGGAAGTCCCAAGATCTCTTCTTCACATATGGAGCAAAATCTGTGCCAATACTTTAGTAATAAAAACACTGTATCTATTATCTGATGTTAACCAATGGTGCTGCTGTTATTTCCACAGGAGATTAACACAAATTGACCCACAGCGCCAACTGCTACCTTGGTGTATGAAATGGCCCAAGTGCATTTGTGAGAATATCTACCCGACTGCATAGGAGAAAATCACCTCCATCTATTTGTGAGAAAGCTACCTGAACTGTATTTATCTATAAAACATTACTTTTATGTTACACAATAGATTTATTTGTTGACACCACATTTGCTTTTGCAAAGTGGGTCCTGTTTGTGAGTCAATGGATTCTTTGCAAAGCAGATTGCACACTGTACCTGCTGAAGATAATGTCAGCAACTAAGAGGCATTATAAATGTGGAGTTTTAGGATACACAAATGAACATTGTAGTCTCCATAGACTGCCTTCTCAGCTGCTTCTTTTGACATTTTCAGTTTTTTACAGAGATATCACTGATTTGTAGATTTTTTTCTTTACTTTATAAATAATTTAATCTTATTTTAAAAGTGGATCAAGACAGACTCACGTGGCCCATATGTAAATTTTTAACCTCGAGGCCAAATAATAAATTTGATATCTGGCCCAAGTCTTGTGAGCCACTTTAAAGTCGGTGTCACCTCTGCCAAGCCTGGGCCATTTTTGGCCCACATGCTGTCTGCCAGTGCCAGTCAAATGCCTACTGTCCCAGCTTTATGCCAAATCTGGGCCAGAATTATTTGCTACCTGTGTAGTCATTTCTCCCATAGGGAGCTGAATCGGAAGGTCTAAAACAATCGCAAATATGAGCGCACTTCCTCATTAAAGATAAGGGCTGTTTCTCAATTCCAAGAACGCAAAGAACGGACTTGCGTTTTTGTGGCGACCGGTCTTGCCAGGTGTCCTCGGAAGAACGAACTCAGGAGACCGCGAGGGCAGAGAATGCGTCCTTTGAGAAATGGGATGCTGCGTTCTTCCTGATGGTCATGTGACCTTCACGCGTTTTAAATGGAAATTATTTAAACATTACAGCACTCATACAACGATTTATTGTTTCCCCCCTCTTCAAAATTTATACATTGCATAAAAAGATTATAAATATACTCTGCACAATATAAATAAAACTAATTTTAATACGAATTTCAGCAAACAAAGAACCCTTAACGTGTTTATTCCTTTATTAAGATGTCCATGTTAATGTTTACTTTCACCGTTTCATTTAGGGAAACTCCTGAGGTAAATAAGTGATATCTCTGAGCTTTAATAATAAATCTAAATAAAATGCTGCGCTTCCCACCTCCATTCGCAATGACTTCTGGAACTTCCAGAGCGAGTTCGGTGCTCAAGTCTGCATTAGTGCGTCCTCAATATCAAGATCACATCCGGGAAGTTTCACGCGTCCTCCGTACTTGCGGTCTTGAGTATTGGAACTGAACTTAGGCAGCTGATGATGACGTTGCACGAGAACACGAGGACGCAAGACCGCTGAAGAACGCATATTGAGAAACAGCCAAGGTCAATACTGACATAGTTTGTAGCTCCGCCCTCTTTTCAAAAGAGCACAATCTCATTTGAATTTAAAGTGACAGTCATCAAAGCAGCACAACTTTGATCAAAGCCTATATGCAGTTTCAAAGAGTTATGAAAATTTTTGGTGATGTATTTTGAGCTGAAACCTCACACATACACACTCTAAGGACATCAGAAAACTATTTTACATCTTGTAAAAAGGAGCATAATAGGTCCCCTTTAAAACCCATTTTGAATAATTGGGTCAAGCTTGGCTTTTAACAGTGGCAGGTCAGTGATTGTACTTGACATTTACCAACACTGTTATATTGGAAAAAAAAAAGAAAAAAGAATCTGCCATTAAACTTATGAGAATAGGTGATTTGTCTGGATTACAGGAGAAGTGCAGTAATTTTTCACGCCTCTGTCTGTATCTCGGTTTGGCCGCTCAGTTGTGTTGGGGGCAGACAGACAGCTGTCCGGTCGCGCGCATCAGTGCAGCTTTCATATATGGTCACGTAATCATGGCAACCTTGACGTACTTTTTCTAAAAACAGACCGGACACTACACGAGTGCGTGGAGGAAGGTGACGACGCGTTTTACCGTTCATGTTGTATAAGTTCCACAGCACGGGAAACAGCATTTCTTTAATAAGAGAATAAAAACAATCAAGACCCAACACACGCAAAAGTGTGTTCAGCAAACGCGCGCGCCCCGGGTGATGAGCGTGACTTTGGATTACTGCCTCAGTAGATCGCGCGACACCATGGAAAGTTTGGAGAGGCAGCTCATTTGCCCCATTTGCCTTGAGATCTTCACCAAACCGGTGGTCATTTTACCGTGCCAGCACAACCTCTGCCGCAAATGTGCCAACGACATCTTTCAGGTATTATCTGTATAAATATAAAGTATAAATGAGAAGTTAACTAGGCCTATGTTTGAACAGAACTGTACCTATCACAACAACTTACTATTGAGGTTTGTATGACCAGATGATATGTAGCTGTTTTTAGTAGGTTAGTTCTCATGCAAGTTACCAGTTTAAAGTGGCTATAATGCTCTCTTACATATTCCAAAACTGCTGCAGTGATTTTAAACAGCACCCATATATTCATGAAAGCTTATTATAAGTTATACTTTTTTATTTAATTGGAACATTCAGTAGTTTGAAGCTGAGCTAGACAAAAATACACATAACCACACTTGTCATACTATCATTTTATTTTATCCTGATCATTAAATAATGTAAACTATATATTATAAATAAAATTATTTCTGTGTTTGTCTGTGTTTCAGGCCTCAAACCCCTACCTACCCACACGGGGAGGCTCTTCACTGGGCTCCGGCGGCCGGTTCCGCTGTCCCTCCTGCAGACATGAAGTAGTTCTGGACAGGCACGGGGTCTATGGCCTGCAGAGGAACCTGCTGGTGGAGAATATCATAGACATGTACAAACAGGAGTCCAGCAGGTACTGTTACTGTAACTGAAACTTACAGCTTCACATTCTTTTCTCTAATCATTCATGTTGATGTTTTTTGGAACCCAGGCTTTCTATTCTATTCTATTGTATTCTATTCTATTCTATTCTATTCTATTCTATTCTATTCTATTCTATTCTATTCTATTCTATTCCATTCTATTCTATTCTATTCCAGCACATGGTTAGTTTGTGTGTGCTAGACTATAAGTAGGTCAGTGTGACAGGAGCTATTTCAGACACACTTTCTGTGTTTATCAGTTGCCCCAACACACACACATTCATACCACTTTCTTTGCAGGAACCTGTTATACAATTTTGTTGTTTTCATACTGATCTTTCAGGTTTAAATCATTTCACATTGTTGTTTTATTGTGCTACTTTTATTAGGAGGGAAGTTTTCAAGGATTATTTCTAAAGGTTTGTTTGTCAATATTTAACTTACTTTGCTAATGTAACCTAACATGTAAAGAGAGACAATTTAACCACGGTGTGTACATTTTTAAAAGGTACACATAGATCACAGAGAGTACAAAAATATGTCAAAAAACACCATAAAGTATTATATTTTGATAATTATTACACTTCAGTGATGTAGATTTCTTTACCAGCATCATTCCTGGTGAGTTTGTTTAAATTGCATTAAGCCACTGTATTTTATATTTAATACACAATTTAATACATGTATATTTATTACAAGATTTTGGGTTATTACAGTCTTGAATGTCACTGATTTAAAAAAACTACTTTCTTTGTTTTTTTTTGTGGAATGTCACACAAAAATGACCTCAAAAAAAGGGTGTCATGGTGGCACAGTGGGTAGCACGATCATCTCCTTACAGCAAGAAGGTTGCTGGTTCGAGCCCCAACTAGTTCATTTGGCAATTCTGTCTGGAGTTTGCATGTTCTGCCCATGTTTGTGTTTGAGTTTCCTCCGGGTTCTCCAGTTTCCCCTACAGTCCAAAGACATTTGTTATAGGTGAATTGAATAAACTAAATTGGCTGTAGTGTATCTGTGTATCGGTGTTTTCCAGCGTTGGGTTGTGGCTGAAAGGGCATCCGCTGTGTAAAACATATGCTGGATAAATTGGCGGTTCATTCCGCTTTGGCGACCCCTGATTAATAAAGGCACTAAGCCGAAAAGAAAATGAATGGATGAATATTAACATTTATTAAACATATTAAGATTGCTCAGTATACAAAAAAATAATAATATCCATACCAACACATCCACATTATAATAATTACATCATTTTAATGAATTTCACCTGCAGTGCTCTAAAGCAGAAAATAGACAAAAGTGAGAATTTGCTTTACATGCCAAATCACATGCATCACAAATGATACATTTATTAAAGTAGTTAGTTTTTTTAATCATTGCCAAAAAAAGAAACTGTTAACAAAGACTTGTAACATTGCAGCTTTAATGTGTTTCAGCAGAAACATTATAGTTGGCTGAGATTGTATGGGGTGGGTAGTAATATCTTGCTTGTTTTTTGCCGAGCTATGTTCAAAAGTCTTATTCGCTGTGGAATCACAGTTTGGTTTGGAAATCTCTCTATTCAATTAAAAAAAAAGGTTCATATTCAAAAAACAGCCATGAAAATCATAGGAATAAAACAATATGAGCCTATACAGACTCAATATGAACTGGCCGTCATGAGAAAAAGACTGAGAATGCCAATGTGTAAAACCAATAGACCATTTTGAGGGGTGTAAACAAAAACAATGGTCCCAACGCATTTCCTGTTTTACATTTTTAACTCTTATCGCTTCAGAGAATCCAAAAAGAGCCACATATTGATAAATAATGTTATGACAGCTGTTTTAACGTTGAGATATGATTGAATTGCCTCTTGTTACAGTTGTGAAATAGTCTGATAACAAGCAGGAAACGTTCATGGGCCAATGACATCACCACTCTGAAATGGTTCATAGATTGAAGCTTTCCTTTGTTCCTACCTCGAAAAAACTGTTGAACTCCACCAAGAACAAAGCACCTGTAGTATTTTAGCACCTGACTGTGTTCTGTTCTTTATATATTTCATATTTATATATGGTTATAATTCGTAAAAGTGTATGTTCTTAATTGTTTTATTTGTTTTATTGTCTTGCTTAGAGCAACCTTGTAGCACTTTTTTTGCCCAAGACAAATTTTCTCTCCGGACATATAAAGTTTATCCTGTGCTATCCTATCCTATCCTATCCTATCCTATCCTATCCTATCCTATCCTATCCTATCCTATCCTATCCTATCCTATCCTGTCCTAGTTCTGACAGTCCTGAGTGGAACTTTTTTTTGTACATAGTGTAAAGCACAATTTTAAAATAAAATGAGAATGCACCTTATTTCATTAACAGCTAAGATGATCATGAAAAATATAGCAAAAATGAAAATGTCTTCTTTCCCAATGCTGGGTTGCAGCTGGAAGGGCATCTGCTGTGTAAAACATATGCTGGATAAGTTGGCGGTTCATTCCTCTGTGGCGGCCCCTAATGATGAATACAAGGACTAAGCTGAAGGAAAATGAATGAATGAATGAATGAAAAATATCTTCATAAGGATGCTCAAGGGTTTAGTCAGATCTGTCTGATTGTGTGTAAGCAGCAGTAAACCTGAGCCACAAGTGAAGGAAGAGGTGCTGATGTGCGAAGAGCATCAGGACGAGAGGATTAATATCTACTGCGTGACGTGCTCTGTTCCTACTTGTTCGCTATGCAAAGTGTTCGGGAGTCATCAGACCTGTGAGGTCGCTCCACTTAAATCTGTCTATGAGTCCCAGAAAGTAAGACGTTTACCCATCGTTCTGCTTCCTCTCTCTCCACTGCTGTCTTCATGATGACTGACCAGTTTATGTGTACATCTACAGACAGAGCTGTCCGATGGCGTTGGCCTGTTAGTTGGAAACAATGACAGAATTCAGGGAATTATCAGTCAGCTAGAGGAAACCTGCAGATCTGTGGAGGTCAGTGTGTTCTTTATTCTTTGTTTAAGAACAGGAACAATACTCAGTTTTTGTACCATAATGCACAACATAAACCTTTATGTAAAGTATTTAAAGTTTACCTTTAACTATTGAACTTTTTCAAGGTTAAAAGTTGTTGAAAGAAAGGTCAAGGTCCCATAATGCAATTCAAAAGCATTAATAAACGACAAAAAAGAACAAAAAAAAAAAAACATGAACCACAAAATACAGAACTGTTAATTAATAAAAATGAACTATTTTTATGTAGTGATGTCCGCGCATGTGTGTTTGTGTGCAGGAGAACGGTCGCAGGCAGAAGTCTCGTGTTTGCGAGTGGTTTGATCGCCTGTATGCTCTTCTGGAAGAACGCAGAGGAGATCTAACGCTGAAGATCACAGCAGAACAGCAGGAGAAGCTGGATTATATCAGTGGCCTACAGCGCAAGTACATGCAAATAAACACACTACACACAAAACAAAAAACAGTGTATAGTCTATATTCTCTATGCCAGGTGATAAATGAGCAAGAAAAACAGCATAAATACATATGGATTCGATGGATTTGCTCTTCAGTGTTTGGACTTTCAGCATTGAAAATTAAACCACCCTGAACTTAACTAAACTTCAACTCTGAAAACTGGACTGACACAGTTTCAATCTACTAAAACTTCTGTGTTTAGCTGCTTTGACACAATCTACATTGTAAAAGAGCTTCAGAAATAAAGATGAACTGAATATATATATATATATATATATATATATATATATATATATATATATATATATGTATTTAAGATTATATTTTATCTATCTATCTATCTATCTATCTGTCTGTCTGTCTGTCTGTCTGTCCGTCCGTCCGTCCGTCCGTCCGTCCGTCCGTCCGTCCGTCCGTCCGTCCGTCCGTCCGTCCGTCCGTCCGTCCGTCCGTCCGTCCGTCCGTCCGTCTGTTTCCACAAAGTATTAAGCAGCAGTATTAATAACAATTGAACACAGTTTCATAATCAGCATATTAGCATGATTTCTGAAAGATCACAAAAGACTGAAAACTGGAATATGATGCAAAAAAAATCATCATTTCATCCAGGAAGAAATAACATAAAATACATATCAGTACCCATCTAAATCTTCTTAACAGTAATACAAATAGGTGACACATGTTCATCAAATCTACAGTTGAAGGGAACTTGGTGGAATTTGTATAAGTGCTGTTTAACAGAGTTTTTTTTTTCAGTAACTATTGTCTTTGCTGTTATTTTAGGGCATATTTTATAAGTGATTTTGCAAGATACCAGTATTCTGTTTAATGTGCATTTTGGCTAATTAGGCAAGTCATTGGACAACAGTTTTAATTTCTAGACAAAAATCCCAACGGGCTGTAAGGCTATAAGCTTACACTGCTATTCTGAACCAATAGTCGGAAACAGAAAGGATGGCGTGTTTAAATCCATTATTTATTTGACTCCATTATAATGAATCTGACTCCATTAAAGTTGTTATCATCGTTGATAAAGCGAAAGACTCTCTACGTCTTAAAGCAGGGAAAGTTGTTAATTAAGTTACATGTTTAAATATACAGACAGTAGAATGAAACAAACTAGCATACTGTATAAAGAAATTAGCTGTAACTTATGCACTGCTGAGCAACAAAGACAGTGAAACTGCCTTTGTTAGCATATGAGGCTACGCACCGGTGTGCGGGAGATGCAGAGTAAAAGACATTCTCCCATATCAACAGTTACCTTTCCTTCTTATACCCTGAGCAAACCATTGTCAAACATGAGTGAAAACCAACCCCCAAAACCAGCTAAACATGAGAGCAAAGTTGAAGAGATAAAGTGGGGGAGAAGAACATTAACATACTCTCCTCAGGCCATGACCCAACAATAGTAAATATATTGTAGATTGAAATACAATCAATCAATGTCTCTGTTGATTTCATCACAACACTGAAGTCATAAACTGTCAAATGACACCAAACATGACAAAGTTATATGAAGGAAGAACACGAGCAGATGAATTGTGTATGGTGAAAAGCACATGGTTACTGTAAGCAAATGGCAGAGATGTGTATTGGAGCTGAGAGGAACTCTGCCTAACCAGGAGGACCCATCCCATGCTTGGAATGTCTCAGTAGTCCTTCATTAGCATAGAAAGAAATTTTCTCAGCTTACAGGGCTAATAATATCGACCTTAAAATAATGATAACTAAAATAATAAAAGTTTTTATTCCAGTAAAATTCAAATAAATAAGACTTTTTCCTGAAGATTAAATATAATAGAAAATATTGTGGGTGTCCTTGCTCCGTAAAACATCACTTGGGAAATAATTGAGAAATAATTCAAATGTCATGTTATTTTTTAACACTTTTCTCTACTACTAAGTATCTTTACGTTTTCATAATGTATAATACTATTATCATCTGTGCAGGTACAGAGAGCATCTGGATAACTCAGCTAAACTAGTGGAGACAGGAATTCAGACAATGGAGGAATCTGAAATGGCTATCTTCCTGCAGGTCTGTGAAGTTCTTCATTGTGATCTTGCATGCTTTTTTTTTAAAGGAATTAAATATGCAACCAAGTTTTTCTAGTGAAATTTCTTATCAATATGTCTCTCTTACAGAACACGAAGCCTCTGCTACAACAGTAAGAACCAGATATTTATCTTTATTCTGCATCTAAACTCTTTTATTTAGTCAACTTATTCATTCTCGTCTCTTTAACCTCAGGATTGCAGAAAGCCGGAATGTGTCTCACTTAGAGAAGGTTGAGCGTGGATATGAAAACATGGATCATTTCTCTGCAAACTTCCAGTCGGAGCGAAGAGCAATCCTCAGTATAGACTTTATCAAGGGTAAACCAACTCTAATCCTTTCAGTTTAATTTTAGTCTGTCCCTTTATTGACCTTATTCTTATATGTTAAAGCAAGCACAGCCATCGGAACCTAATTGGCCTAAAAGACTTCTGTTCTCATTCACTTAAACTTAAAGAACAAGCTTGTTATGCTGACTGATTTTACAAACTGTTATTTTTATATATTTAGTCATAAGCACACTTGTTTGTAGAGAAAGTAGTTTGACCGTTTGTTATTCCAAGCCATTTTTCTTAGGGTTGCACATCATTGCAACATAGACTTATTCTAAAACGTAACCCTATATACATTTCTGGAGATTACAAATAATGTAGCCAGAGGAATGTATGGCTGCATTTCATCTTTAAAACTAGAACCTTAAGTTCGTTGACGAACTTTGATGTTGGCTTGAGAAAGCCAATGTGACTGCGCTAGGACTGGGAAAGGTCCTAAGTGGTTGCTAGGCAGTTCCTAAAATGTTTATGGCATTGCTAGGTGGTTGCTAAGCAGTTGCCATATAGCAACACTCGTGTACATGTTTGATCAAATGCTAATACTTAGTAGACATTTCTAGCATTTGTTATTGCACGTAGATAATCATTAACTAATTGCTAGTAGCACTGGACTTATCATTATATTTTTGATAAAAATATAATGCTTAATAAGTGTGAAAGTGATGCATGCAAAAATGGCTCAAAAAATGGCTCCCCACATTAGTAAAAAAAGACTTTATATAAAAATACCTTGCCATATTAATTAAAAAAATAATGAAGTTTAAGTCATGGAGTTTTAGCCTTGCCATATTTTGAGAAAAAAAAATGCTTAAAAATTATTTATTGGAATACTATAGGTCTGATAAACCTGATAAAAAAGATATAGCAACAAAATCGAATGTATAAAACAGCTTTTGGACAAGTTTGGGGCATGTATAATTTTTTTATATGCCCGGATTATTAAAATGTTATATTTAACATTTTTTTTATTCAAAAACAGTTGGTCTGATTGGCATGAGGAGATAAGCAACAATCTTAAATGCAGAAGGCAGGTTTTGTAACATGAACGACCTAGGAGGAGATACGTTTGGTTTCGAGGACAGAGTAGTATAACAGTATGTTGACTTTCTCGAGCCAACATAATGAGCGATACAGGGCAGTATAAAGTAGTTCCTTTTCGCGCTTACCAGCTGGCTGCATTCCTCCATATGGACAGCTTTTCCACTGTTACCAGTTTGTGCGTAGCTCTACAGATTCGTCAGGGGACTTGAAAGGCATAGCAGAGTTTCTCGGTTTGAGTAGGGTGAAGAACGGTTCCAGAAAGTGGGTAAGAAAAAAAATAAAAATAAAAATAAAATAAAGTAAACAAAGTAAATAACAGTGAGAATGTGGTCAATCAGTGCTTTTTAAAACACTATCGGTTGGGTTTAGAAAAAGGGGAGAGTGGGGTCATTGGTCGGTCAGTCAGTCAGTCAGTCAGTCAACAATGGCCTATGGTGGATTTACACAAAAACAGCAGGTGCGTATGGCACTCGCACGAGAAATTTGAGATCCCATAAACCATACACAGCGGCCTTTTGTAGATTTGCGAAAGCAAAAACTACAAAAAAACGTAGCTCCTGGGACGTATTTGGCGCTCTCTAGAAATGTATATAGGGGTACGTAATCAGAATGAGCCTGGGTTGACATTGTTTCAATATCGATATCACAGTGTGATCTTTCTCAATAGTCATATTGCAAAATCTGGATTATAATTCAACATTTGCATGGGTTTTGGAGGTATGTGAATGAATGAGGATTTTAAAAAGAATTCAGGCCTGAAAAATTGTACATTTGTAACTTTAATAGCTATTAATTTTATTGAATTACTTATAAAACAAAGACTGTGGAGCAGGACCGGCCCGTGGCATAGGCAGTATAGGCAAATGGTAAGGGCGCTGTACATCCCGGGGGGGCGCCAGAAATGAGTGGGGTTAAGTTGGTTTTGTTTTCAATATTCCTGACACACATTCAGTGATAGATGGCAATAACTTAAAAACCTCTTACCCTAAAAAGATCTAAAGTGTGTTTCCTACAAAAAGACAAAGCTGGTTATGTTTCACAGCTGTCTTTTTCTTTTTTTTTTCGCTCGATATTACGAGCACTGCTCCGTTTAGCTTGGGATATGCGTTTAGCCGGGAGAGCTGAGCTCGCGTGGAGTGGAGCTCTCCGTAAGGGACTGTCAAAAAAGTGCTTATTTTTTTCGTTTTTTTTTTTTTTTTTGCATTATCCTGCGTGTTTTATTTTAAACACAACTAATTTTCTCTTAAATGAGCACAACAGTTACTAAAGTAGTCGAATGCTTCATTCATTCATTCATTATAGGTCTGTGCATTCTTACATGAACACCTCTGTTATCAAACAAAACACAATGAGAGATTCATTTGCTGCTCTTCACTAAATAACTATAGTAACTTTAATCAATATGCAAATACAATTAAAAGTTAAATAGATTTTATAGCTTTATTTAATTTTTGTATAGGCAATTGATTTTAATAGGTTAAACCTTTTATTTTATTGTCAATATTTTCTATTGTTTGCTATTTATTCTATCATTTGAAGCTATTTGTTGTCCCATATTTTAACATCCCAACGTTGATAGATATGACAACATTGCTAATCATTAAATAGCTATAGTGCTATCTGTTAGTTTTAACGTCAGCTAATGTTATGGAAGGGCATAGATGTTTTGGAAAATAGTACTATTAACGTAGCTACCCCATCATTCCTTCCTCAAGCTAATGTGTAAATGTTAGATCTATTCAGCAATAACGTTAATTACATTGGCATATTTATCTGACATTTTCCCAGCTTGTAGTAGTCGATCAAAAAGCTGTTTAGTTTTTTATGACTTTACACTAGCAGTGGAATTTACTGCGATGTGACGGGGCACCACCTGAAATCTTGCCTAGGGCGCCAAATTGGTTAGGGCCAGGCCTGCTGTGGAGTACTATTTGACATTTGATTGTTCACTGCATACCTGAATACTGTTAGACTCTACAGTAAACAATCTACAAGCATAGATACAAACATACTCTAACAGTTAGAGTATGTATGTATCAATGCTTGTAGATTATTTAATTTTATGTATATGCACTCACCTACAGAACTATACCAATCAATTTAAAATTATAAATTCTTTCTGATTAGAGATTGTCAAGTCATCTGGTGAAATTAAAAAACAAAATATCGCAATGTCAGATTTTTCCAATATCAGGCATCCCCATTGACATATAAATTCTAAAAAATGATATTAAGTTCTGAAAAAATAAATAAGTTCTAAAAGAATCTGTTAAATAAAACAACATAGGCTCATTCTGAAAACGTAGCCCTATATACATTTCTGGAGATTGTGAATTATGTATCCAGAAGTACGTATGGCTGCATTTTGTCTTTAAAACGAACGCTATGGGGCAGTATGACGCTGCTCCTTTTCACACTTACCAAGTGACTGCTTACCACCATATGGATGGGTTTCCTGCTGTTACCAGTTTGTCCATTAGCTCAAAAAAACTAAATCCAGAAAATAAAACCAACAAATAAGTAACAGGGTGAGAATGTGGTAAAATCTTGCTGTGTTGTAAAAATCCTGCGAAAAATTTGTTTCTTTTTTTGGAGTGCTTTTCAAGACACTGTTGGTTGGGTTTAGGGAAATGGGTGGGTGGGGGCATCGGGCAGTTGGTCGGTCAGTCAGGCAGTCAGTCAATCAGTCAGTTAACAGCGGCCTTTGGTAGATTTACGCGAGAACAGCAGGCGCAAATGGCACTAGCAAGAGAAATTTGAGATCTCAAAAACCACACACAGCGGCCTCTAGTGGATTTGTGAAAACAAAAACTTAGCTTCTGGGGCAGATTTTGCGCTCTACAGAAATGTAAATAGGAGTACGTTATCTGAATGAGCCTGAATTGGATTAAAAGGTGAATAACCATAGGTTATTACAGATGGGGACGACAATGATGAGGATGAGGATGATGATGAAGAAATAACCGTAAATCCTGAGGCATCTTCAGGAGCCGCACCTGCCCCAGTTCAGCAGAGACAAACCCCCGTGCCAAATCCTTCACCAATGGCAGCTGACTCTGTCCAAATGTCATTAAAGCCCAGCCAATCAGCAAACACAAATCCGACAGAGAACACGCCCATAGTTACACCCACTCCAGACTCCACTCACATCCCTTCCGCAGATGCACAAGCACAGGTAAGAGCTTTGATCTTTCAAATTGTGATCCATATTAGCGATGTCCTGGAATCATTATCGTTTAATAGTATTTTTAAGGATTTTGCAGGGAAGTATATTGAAAGGCACAGCTGATCTGAGGACATTAATCATCATAAAGCAGAGGGTCAGTTTTAATTAGCAAATTTAATTATTCATTCTTTTTTCCTTCGGCTTAGTCCCTTATTTATCAGGGGTCGCCACAGCGGAATGAACCACCAACTATTCCAGCATATGTTTTGCACAGTGGATACCCTTCCAGCTCCAACCAAGTATTAGGAAACATCCATACACTCTCAGATTCACACACACATAGTCATACACCACAGCCAATTCAGTTTATTTAATTTACTTATAGCACATCTTTGGACTGTGGGGGAAACAGGATCACCTAGAGGAACCCTACACGAACACGTGGAGAACATGCAGACTCCACACAGAAATGCCACCTGGCCCAGCCGGGACTCAAAACAGTGACTTTCTTGCTGTGAGGCTGACCACTGAGCCACCGTGCCGCCCTATAATTAAAACAGTGTAGCAAATAGTTCAAATGTGGATTGAATGCCATAGACATGAATGTAAATGCTATAAATTTGTGAAATGCAAAAGCGAATGAACGGTTTTGTTTACGAACACCGCATCAAATTTCTTTCTGTGATTTTCTTCACAGCACTGAGCTACAAGCCAGACGGAGTCTGCGGACATTTTTTGCTATTTCTGCGCAGAAGTTTGGTCAAATTTATGCGGAATGATTTTGAGAGTATTATAACTAAAACCTTAAAACATGAACAAAAAAGTAATACCTTTTTAACTTGTATTTAATGTTTACAATGCAAATCCAATCAGATCCACTTTATTTGGTAAACAAAGCAAGTCTTTCATATAATCGTTCTGATCAGCTTTGTTGTCGCGCACGTACTGTAAAGCGGGGAGGGGGGTTGAGCGCGCGTACTCAAGAGCGGTGTTGTCGCACGACTACTGAATGGCGGGACGGAGGGTGTGTCGCGTCGCGGGGGCACTTTTGATCATTTTGGAAGGGCACTTTATATCCAAGACTAAAAAGGGCATGTGCACTGCACAGGTTGAGCCCTATGTGTGCACATGCCTGATCTCTACTAAAAGACAGAAACAAATTACTTTACAAACTGTATTGTAAAGCATGAACATTTTATATTAGTTAATAATATTACATTATTATTATTATTACCATATTACTAAAATTCATTTAAAAACTGAATAAATATGAATTTAAACACATTTACACAGAGAATTAAATAGAATCAATGATGGGCTACAAATCTGCAGAATTCTGTGCGCGCAGATTCCGTGTGGGCCTGGCTATAACCAATAACAACATGTTACTGTTATGCAGTAGCCAATCTGAGGCATTTAGATTAGTCAACAAAATGTAAATGATCAATTTGAACTCTTCAGTGGTTATTACTGGAGTTTTATGAAGCATGTTTTGTCTTTGTAGCCAGATTATGACATACTTTTCCTCTAAACACAAATAAATGAATTCAGTTAACTGACATTAGGAATCATTGTTATCATTGCTGTGAATTATTAGCTAATGTTAGTTTATGTGTTTACTAACATGAACAAATAATGAACAATACATTTATTGCAGTATTAATTTATCGTTGATAATGTTGAATAATGAAAATAACGTCATTCATTGTTAGTTCTTGTTAACTGAGTGAATTAACTAATGTTGTCAACTTTGCTGCTATGCATTAGTAAATGTTGAACTTTAATTAATAAATGCTGTAAAAGTATTGTACAGGAAGACACAGTGGCTCAGTGGTTAGCACTGTCGCCTCACAGCAAGAAGTTTGCTGGTTTGGAGTTTGCATGTTCTCCCTGCGTTCCTGTGGGTTTCCTCCGGGTGCTCTGATTTCCGTCACAGACCAAAGATATGCGGTACAGGTAATTGGGTAAGCTAAATTGTCCTTAGTGTATGACTCTGAGTGAATGTGTATGGATGTTTTCCAGAGATGGGTTGCAGCTGGAAGGGCATCCGCTGCTTAAAAAACATGCTGGATTAGTTGGTGATTCATTCCGCTGTGGTGACCCCAGATGAATAAAGGGACTAAGCCAAAAAGAAAATGAATGAATGAATGAAGCATTGTACATTCTTAGTTCTTTTCAGCAAATACATTAACTAACAATACTTAATGAAACCTGATTGTAAAGCGTGACTATTGTCAACATAATTATACCAAAAAACACAAAAGTCATTATTATCAATTACTGCAGACCAACCCTGTTGTGAGATACAGGTTTTTACATATAATTTACATAAAATTGAAAAAGTTTGTTGTTGTTGTTGTTGTTTCTGATATTCTAATTGTTTGAAGAAATTGATGCTGCAATTACAAAATAATTATAAAAGCAGTTCTAAAGGGGAAACATATCACCATTTCTGACCTTGACAGTAAAATACTGACTCTTTTCTAGGTTTTGGAAAAGTGAAATGATCCTTTTTGTAAAATAAAGTGTACCAAACATAAGATTAATAAGTATTAATAATTTTGTGCTGCTTAAGATTTATTAGCCAAGAAAGCTACAGCACATCCTTAAAACCTTATTATTGACCAATAGTAATTAATGTTTCAACATTACAGACCTTTAGATCATTTGTATAGTCATTTATTTACAGTTTGACTTGAAATTGAGATAAAAATGACTTCCCTGTGCTTTTTCTTCTATAAAAATTAAATATTTTGAACTTGAATTAAATAACATTGTCACTAAAATCATTGTCATGTGTGCTTTGTTAAATTCAGAATCATAAAGAACACGATTATGGCAATGAATAACACACGTATCAATACAAGCACTGTCCATCATTAGAAGTGGAGTTAAACATGAGAAACAGGCTGGTTGTCAGAAAGCTTGAGATTTTATCCAAAAGAGCTGGCGATGAAACCAAAATTGTATTTCTGGAATTGTGACAATTACAAAACACCCATTTGCTAAATTTTCTCTGTTTAGTAGTAATTCATGTGACCACATTATAAATTCTGTAAATATTTCTGATCAGATCTTTAGCTCTGTCTGTCCTTCTTACTGTCTGTTTATCAATCCATTCATCTCATTTTCTCCTTCTTTTGCATTCATTCAGGTAACATCCGGTCCCGGCCAGACATCTGATGATGGACAACGCCACGTTTTCTCTTTCTCTTGGTTAAATATGCCAAAGTAACCCAAGACTAAACCTGATAAACCTGCAACACTACAGTTAACCTTCCAGAAAAGCCTGATGTACATCAAAATGAATATTGTATTTCTTTTCCAACAATAATTATACATTAAATAGCTAGATAAGAATAAAAAAAACATTTCTTTCTGAAGTAGAGGACTAAAGTGCAAAATAAATGATGAATAAGTGAAGCCTACATCTGGTCTTTTTATACTATATAATATGTCCATATTGAGTACATGCTGTTTCCTATTAAAACAGAGAGGATGGAAAAGCATAAAAGGATAAAAAGATAGTAAACACAAAGTATTTATAAACCAGAAATCCCTAAACATACTGCATTAGAAACTGTCACAGAAAAAGTTAAATATTACAGTCTTAGCAATGCATTACTTTTTAAGGAATACTTTAAAAAAGGTGGGTTATTTTAACCCAATTCTGGGCGTAATACAGACCAAACCAACTGATGTGTTCATTTTTTAAATATAGGATCAAATTTAGGCCTATTTAACCCAATGTTTGGGTTTGTCCATATTTCACTCAGTTTGGGTTTAAATAACCCAGCATTTCTTAGAGTGAATGTAATGTGAAGTAGCCTATGTTTTTTAAAGTGTAGACTTAAAGTGGTAATACTTATTTCTTTTTTACACTGAACGCTGACACAACTATTTTGTGAGTTATTAATGCTTCATTTTCCTAAATCGTCCATGATCTTGCGGTTGTGGGTTACGCGCTGGGTCATTTTCTCGGCTCTCGCCATCTGCAGCACCTCACGCAGCAGGTGAAACGTCAGATCAAGCGAGATCGGCGGATCCTCCGATCGACGCTCGCGGTCCTCTGGGCTGCTCAGGATCCCGTTACCGACACCACCGATCTGACCTCCAGACAGCCGCTGTGTGAGTTGCAGCTGAATGCGCGACGGAGCTTTCCGGTCGAGCGCGCTCGGGCTGTTGTCCAGGCGTATCCGGTACTCCTCCCCTACGCGCATCAGGACCGGCAGCGGCGCGTCCGTGTGTCCAGGAGCGCAGTCAGAGCTCCAGACGGAGAGTCCGAGGGACACCGCAACGACAACCACGTGCAGATTCATAGGGGAATTCACGGTAATCTGGAAGTATATGGGTTATTAAAAATTACTTTGCATGATTTTTAAATGAATGACAAAATGTTTTTCATTTTAAAAATACCGTGTATTTCTAAATAGGCTATATAATTTAAAACACTTTACTTTTAAAGGTGCACATTAGCCATTGCATTATAAATTTTATAACCATTTGGTTTCCAAAAGGCTTATACTATACAAGTGCTTGGATTTAATAATGCATTTCCATATTACAAATTAGTGAAATATACAATATCTAAATATATGAGCACATGTTCAGAAGGTTCAAAAATACATTTTAAATACAAAAAGTAATGACCATATCTTATTTATTTCAGTCTTTTTAAATAGTTTATTTGTTTATTCAATTCTTGATTAAAAAATACACATAAATAATCATATCTCCAAAAAATCTGAGGGTGCATTCTCTGCTTCTAAATCCTGGTCCGTGAATCAGATGCCTAGTGGTTTAAAGTTTGAGGTAAATAACACTCTCTGTTTCAGTCTAAAGAGGAACATTGTAACAAGTGCTACAATCTTCTCCAGGATAAATCACATTTTGAGCATCAGTGGAAGCAAGAATCTCTGAAATTTTATGCAATGTAAAACTGTTACAATTAAGCCAGGGATCCGGTTTAATGCTATTTAATGAATGATGTGTACTTTCGCAATGTTCATGCAAGCCTTCTACTTTCTAAACTATAGCCTTATTTAAACAAACAAAAACAACTGCGCTTATTCGATTTCATTAGGCTATTTGAAAACAATTATTAAATGAAAAACATTATGCTCATAAAATAAAGTTAACTTTTGTGTCATCTATAATAGCATGTTCTGAGTTGATGCTCACCTCAGTCGGTGTCCTCCAGAAACCAATTGTCGGTGAGAGTCTGCTGTCTGGGAGCGAGCATCGCTGGGCTTTTATTTATATGAGCACCTTATTTCTCAGATGACAGAAACAGCACAATGAGTCACTGAATTATTGGCTGCGGTTCGACTAAATCTAAAATGAAAATGCTCTTGCATTCCGTCGTGTGTTTAGTTTCACGCTGTAGATTGAATCGAGAGCCTGTCTCCTCTGAATTAACAGAGACTTTCTTAATTCGTGTTAATGAATCTGACTCAGTCTCCGGTAATTGAGGGACTCTGCTGATGACGCACTGACGCGCCTAGGAACGGCAGCGCATCTCCACCTGTTTGGATCATTTGGCACCGATGCCCGCAAGATCTGATGAGACACCTGTAAACATCCAGGGTACGGGGTCAAAGGGCATCCACCGTGGGATCAGCATGTTTACATAAAATATTGACCGGTGGATATGCAGGATTATTCTTTAATTTATTTTCTTAAGAGTGGGAATGATGGCGCACAAACACAAATGCGCAGGCAACTCTCTCGCTATAAGTTTTTTTTTTCTTATTTTTACTGAGTCAGCGGATATTTTTATGCAAGTAATGTAGGCCTGGTCATGTTTCACAATTAACAGGGAACGTTCTTTGAACTTTGGGCAAACAGTAATGCACAAACGTTGTAACGAAACGTCCCTAACCTCCTTAATAAAAAAGATATCGTTATATATAAATATAAAATATTTATATGGTGTATTTGGGTAATCTGACTGGGGCATTGAGTAATTTGGACACCTATGCTTCAGTGTGTTTATTTCTGTTCTACCAAAATTCAGTCGACATGACTTTTATTATAAATTTAGCTAGGACTTTATGAGTGAAATCACATTGGGGGGTTCCACAGAGGGGGCCAGGGCACTTGCTCTCATCAACATTGGATGACAAGGTCAGTGATTCTGACTAGATTAAAAATAAGGAAATTAACCTTTCATGATTAACACAATGTTCCCAATTGTTGTTAAATTATGTTATATTTTGTGTTAAAGTGTTGAAAATATTTTTTTTCGATTTATTTTCTTTCTAGCATTTTTTGTTGTCCCACATTTGATTGATAATGTGGGACAGCATGGTTTGGGTCATCTGGGACATCTGGGACGAGTTATTAAGTCAGACTTCCAAGTTATGAAGTCAGAATTCTGAGTTATAAAGTCAGAATTTCCAGTTATTAAGTCAGAATTCCGAGTTATAAAGTCATAATTCTGAGTTAAAAAGACAGAATTCTGAGTTATTAAGTCAGAATTCCGAGTTATAGTTGGAATTCTGAGTTAATGAGGCAGAATTTCGAGTAATGAAGTCAGAATTCCAAGTTATAAAGTCAGAATTTCCAGTTATTAAGTCAGAAATCCAAGTTATAAAGTCAATTCTCAGTTAAAAAGTCAGAATTCTGAGTTATAAAGTCATAGTTCTGAGTTATTAATCCAGAATTCCGAGTTATAGTCGGAATTTTGAGTTAATAAGGCAGAATTTCCAAAATGAAGTCAGAATTCCCAGTTATTAAGTCAGAATTTCGATTAATAAAGTCAGAATTCACATTTAATGAATCAGAATTCCTAGTTATAGTCAGAATTCCCAGTTATTAAGTCAGAATTCAGTTAAAGAGTTAGAACTCTGAGATATAAAGTCAAAATTCTGAGTTATACAGCCAAAATACCGGGTTATTAAGTCAGAATTCTGAGTTATAAAGTCAGAATTTCCAGTTATTAAGTCAGAATTCTGAGTTATAAAGTCATAATTCTGAGTTAAAAAGACAGAATTCTGAGTTATAAAGTCATAATTCTGAGTTATAAAGTCAGAATTCCCTGTTATTAATTCAGAGTTAAAGAGTTAGAATTCCAAGTTAGAAAGTCAAAATTCTGAGTTAAAAAGTCAGAATTTCAAGGTATTAAGTGATAATTCTGAGTTATAGTAAGATTTCTGAGTTATATAGTCAGAATTCCGAGTTAAGTCAGTATTGTGAGTTATAAAGTCAGAATTCCCAGTTATTAATTTAGAATTGCCAGTTATTAAATCAGAATTTTCGAGTTATTAAGTTAGAATTCTGAGTTATAAATTCAGAATAACTCATAATAAATTAATGACTTAATGACTCGCAATTCTGACTTAATAACTTGCGATTCTGACTTTATAACTCAGATATCTGACTTTATTACTTGCCATTCTGACTTTACAACTCACAATTCTCACTTAATAACTCACAATTCTGACTTAATAACTCACAATTCTGACTTTATAACTCGCAATACTGACTTAATAACTCACAATTTTGACTTTATAACTCAGAATAATGACTTAATAACTTACAATTCTGACTACTCTCTTTACTTTTTTACATTGTATTTGTTTTTTTGTTTTTTTATTCAGTGGCAGGAATGGGCTTCCATAGGATAGACACCGAAATAGAGAGCTGAAGTCAAAATTACAAAAAGTGTGCCAGATTACCTGAATTCACCCTCCGTTTCAGACACTTCAGAGAAATGCAATCCAATAAGTTTCATAAAAATAATAAAAGAATTAGTGCTGAGCAAAGATTAATTGCATCCAAAATAAACATTTGTTCTGACATATATGTGTGTGTACTGTTCATATTTAGTAACACTAAATACACATGCATGCAAATTTGAGAAACTGTTTATTTATATTTATATTTAAGATAGATATGATATATAAATTAAATACCCATGCAAAAAAAGTTTTTGTTTTGCATATGTGTTGGTATTACATGTACTTGACAACATTCCCCACTGATGTTTAATAAATCTAGTAAAACTACCGTGAGAAAAAGTCCCATCTATATTTAAATGGATATATATAAACGCTTCTCTTTCAGACAGTCATGCTTTCTCTTCAGTCATGGGCGCATACCCGTCGGCAGGTGGCGGTCGAACACGAGCTGTCGTCTCGAGGACGCGGACTCGGGGGCACGAGCAGACGTCATGGCGGGAGGTGAAAGAGTCGCGCGTCTGATGCGTCAGCTCGCCAGCGCGGCGTAAGTTTAAATATTTTAGTTTATAAAGTTAATGTATTGAGGTGTGTTTTTAGTCAGTGCAACTTTAATATTTCTATGTATGTATAGGCTAAGCTTGTTAACCCTGCTCAATCCCCTGTGAGTTGTAAACAAACCTATTAAAGGGGTCGTTCACACGAAAAAAATCTCACACATTCTAGGCTACAGAGTTCGTGTGGGTTCAAAAACCTGCATGAATTTTAATCTTATGTGAATCAAAAAGGAAAATGTTGAAATCTTCATTTATTTTAAATGATTTTTGAAATAAAATACTGAGTTGTCCTGTAAGTTACAACTCATTTTTGCTTTCAGTTGAATAGGGATTTGTTCCGTGTTTTATAGGTGCAGATGCCCCGCTCATTCTCAAGCATATTCTCACTCTTATAACCGAGGTAAATTATTTCAGGGATTTTTCTCAGATTAAAATGGACTTATGTTGTATATAACAACATGTTGCGTGTATAGCTTCTGCAGGTGAGGCTCATGTTTGTGACAGGAAAACAGACTATGCTTTTGAAGTAAGTGCACAACATGCATGCATTTACGTTATTATAAAATATCTGTGGATTGTGAAATATAGTTTCACCTCTTTTTTCTTTTTTTTTTCTTTTTTTTTTCTTTTTTACATTTTTCCTGTTTTAAATTATTAACATTTATAACAAAACACTTTCCTCTTAAAGGGACAGTTCTTACAAAAATTACAATTCTGTTAACATTTACTCACCCTTGACTTCCATACTAGATTGAGATTTCTTTTTGTTCTGTTGAACACAAAAGATCTTTTAAAAAATGTTGTAAATCTGTAAGCATTGACTTCCTTATTATGACATGTCAATGGTTACAGATTTCCCATTTTCTTTGAAAGATTTTCAACAGAACAAAAATACTCAAGCTGGTTTGGAAGAAGTCGAGGTTGAGCACATGATGCCTGAATTGTCATTTTTGGGTGAACTATGTCTCTAATGAATGTCAGGCAAAAAGATGCAATCATATGTTTGTGTAATTATGTAGAAATCACATCTCAACATCGTTATAATGAGAATAATTAATTTCAAATTTGTTTTTCAGATGGCTTGTTCAAATATAAGGTTTGGAGCAGGAGTTACCAGAGAAATTGGCATGGTAAACCTTCTTTTTTTAAATAATAAAACAAAAATCACAATTATATCATCCTTGTATCAGCACTTTTATTTAATATAATGATAATAAATAAATGAAGGATACAGCAAGCGATTTTTCATAAAGATGTAAATACTCATGAGAAGTGCTAGCAATTCAAAGTTTCAGGAATTATTAGAAAAAATACAATTGCAAATAAGGAGGGATTAAAGAAAACTACATCATGTTTATTCATTCATTCATTTTCTTTTTGGCTTAGTCCCTTTATTAAACTTGGGTCGCCACAGCGGAATGAACCGCCAACTTATCCAGCATATGTTTTATGCAGCGGATGCCCTTTTAGCTGCAACCCATCACTGGGAAACATCCATACACAGTCATTCACACACATACACTACAGACAATTTAGTCTACCCAGTTCACATACAGTACATGTCTTTGGACTTGTGGGGGAAACCGGAGCACCTGGAGGAAACTCATGCAAACATGGGGAAAACATGCAAACAACACAGAAATGCCAACTGGCCCAGCCGAGGCTCGAACCAGCAACCTTCTTGCTTTGAGGCAATTGTGCTACCCACTGCGCCACCGTGCAGCCCTACTTAATGTTTGCATAATACTTTAAAATCTCTGTTCAGTTCAGTTTTGGAGTCGACGGTCATTAGTTGTTATTGTATGATTTGATCAGGATTTGCAGAACATGGGAGCACGTAATGTGTGTCTGATGACTGACAGGACCTTGTCTCAGCTGCCGCCAGTCGCAGCAGTTCTGGACTCACTGATAAAACATGGAGTCAAACACAAGCTCTATGAGGATGTACGAGTAGAACCAACAGACAAAAGGTGAAAATGCAACAGAAAATGTGTCAAAAACATAAAAAAAACACGCCTGCATTTTCTCACAACACATGCAAATAGAACAGAACACAACAGAAATGTTTCAAAAACCCAAAAACGTGACGGACCTGGCTGGGATTTGCTTAATGGGCTGTGACTAGTTCAAGTTCAAGTTGCTTTATTGGCATGACATTCAGTACAGTATTGCCAAAGCAATTTAAATATGCAATATATTAAAACCATAAAAAAATAAAATAAAAAAAAAATTATAATAGTAATACAGTAGATAAGAAATAATGACAAAAAACAGAATACATTTGATAAATATAACAATAATAATAATAATAATAATAATAACAAGTTTAAATTATTTAAATAAGATACATAAATTTACATTAACCATTTCTTTTGATGTTTAGGGTGTATACATATTTTACAGCAAGTCTAGATGTCAATTCATTCTCTCTGAGTACATGGTAAAGTTTTTCTGAGTCATTAAAA